TTGTTAACATTTATTTTTTAATTTTAATTTTATTATTTTAAAATCTACTACACATTTTTTATTTACAATTCAATTTACAAAAATCACTAACATAAGCTACTCGATAAATTGTTCAAAAGTCCCTCCATTATTTAAAATGCATGCTTCAAATCGACGTGAACATTCACGATTAGTTGCTGACAGTATTTGATTTTCAGTCAAGAGGTTACACGCGTGTGTAATTTTATTTTTTAAGTCTTGAATGTTGATTGGAGGATCAGTATACACAGTATTTTTCAAATGTCCCCACAAAAAAAAATCTAACGGTGTAAGGTCAGGTGACCTTGGAGGCCACTCTACTGGTCCGTGTGTTGCAATAAATTTTTCACCAAATCTTACTTTTAAAAATTCTTGTACAATTCGGGAATTATGAGCAGGTGCCCCATCTTGTTGATAGTACATGTTTCTGCGTGTATCTAATGGTAAATCATCTAAAAAAAGTGGCAAATCATCACGTATAAAATCTAAATATCTTCTTCCCGTTAAAGTTCCGTCGTAGAAATGAGGCCCTAGTAACTTTCCACCAATCATACCAATCCATACGTTTGTACCCCAACATGTTTGAAAGTTTGTAGGAACAGCCCAGTGAGGATTTTCATTCGACCAATAACGATTATTTTGCTTGTTTAATACTCCATTATTAGTAAATTTACTTTCATCAGTCCATAAAATATGATTAATTAATAATGGATCATCCTCAGACGCCACCGTAAACCAAGGAATAAAATTTAATCTTTTTTCTGGGTCTGTTATACGTAAATGTTGGACAAAGTCTGGTTTGTAAGGGTGTAGTTTGTATTTCTTTAAAATCTGATGAACTAATATTTTGGATACGCCAACTTCATGTCCAACGTGTCTAACAGACGAACGTGGGTTAAGATGTACATATGCCAAGACTTGATTTTCAATATCCTCATTTAAATTTGGATTTGCACGAGGTTGTTGTTGAACAGCATTTGTTCTATTGAACGAACCATTTTCTTTTAACGACTTTTCAAGTTTTTGAACATAAGTATAATGAGGATGGTACCTATCTGGATACTGGCGGGAGTACATCGTTGTTGCTTCACGTGCATTTCTGTTACATTTTCCATAAATTAACAGTAACTGAACTTTTTCATGATTATTCATGATTGAATTTTTATTTTGACAAAACTCAAACTTTATAGGTATTACCAATTGACAATAACTAACAGAAAACGTAGAACAACTAAGACCGCAATGACACACGACTCTGATAATGAATATCGTAATAGGTCTTTAAACATAAAAATACCTATGTAATGGCATTTTAATAGGCATGGGTACATTACGAAAATACCTTTAATGACCAATACTCTTAAATTATGACAAAAATAAATACAACTAAAAATAAAATATGTAGATATTCATATGTTTATGAATGTATGATTACGTCGATTTGAAGCATGCGTTTTAAATAATGGAGGGACTTTCGAAC